AGGGAGTATATGTGTGGAGGGGGCAGGAGTTCAGTCTGCTGCACTCTAGGTAACCTAGGTAACCAAGGGAGGCACAGGACCCATCCCAGAAAAGCAAGTAGCGGTCTGACCAGTTGGGCTCTGTGTGTAAATGGCTCCTGGTTCCCAGAGAAAGAAAGCACCTTCATTGATCATAGATACTACTTACCAACTTGGTAAACTGGATCTGTAAACCCAACCTAAGACTCAGCGCTTTACAGGCATACACAAGCATGCTGGAGTGTAACATACAGGTCTCAGATGCCTATGCGCCCACTGGGTAACACCGCCTGATTCAGCTCACTATGCACAGGGGTCCTCCCCAGGCTCTGCTGTATATGCTCTGAGTGGAGGTTTACTATTTTACGTGACTCTACCTGAACTGCTGGAGAACTGTCTAGGATCCCTAAGCACAAGAAGGCTAGGAGTGACTTACAGGGAAAACACATTGTGTCAGATAAGCTTTTTTTTTTTTTTTTTTTTTAATTTATTTATTTATTTAATTTAGTGTGTGTGTGTGTGTGTGTGTGTGTGTGTGTGTGTAGCCAGCTCAGCCCACCAGGGGGCGGGGCTGGCTGGCATATGGTGCTGGGGGATTGAACCGTGGTCCCTGTGCTTTGCTAAGCTTGTTCTAAGTAGGTGCTTTAGACCACTGAGCCATGTCACCAGCCCAGATAAGCTTTCTTTACACACAATTTACACCGCTAGCCATGAGCTCAATGTCAATGAATCAACAATGTATACTGGTATTCAAGAGAATTACACATCAAACATGATTATGTAATGAGCTGAAACTCAGAGAACCCTAACCTCTGATTTTCTTAAAAACAATCTTCAATATTTACTAATTCAGTGTTTGCTACAATTTTATAGAATATATAAACAGTGACAAGCAAACACTGACACTATCTGGTTAATGATCAAGTCCCATAAACTACTGCGAGTTAGTTGCTAAACAAGGAATTGCATGCAGTGTGTATGTCACAATATACAGAAGAAAAAAATGGTAAAAGATTTCCAATGTGATGACTGTGCTTTTATTTGCATAACTTTTACACGTTAATGTATAACAACAAAAAACTGCAGTACTATACTATATAGTACAATTAGTGAAAACTACAGTACTGAATAAGGCATTCTGTAACCAAAAAAAGGACACTGATGCTCTATCAACAAGACGACAGGGGCCGGGGAGATAGCTCAGTAAAACAAATGCTTGCCTGGTAAGCGCAAAGGCCTAAATTCAATCCCCGGTTCTGCCAAAAAAAAAAAAAAAAAAAAAAAAAAAAAAAAAAAAAGGTGGCAGATACACAAAAACATACAAGGGTTTTAAGTTTATATAGCAGGTTATGGCCTGAGCCAAGTGCCTCAGTCACAAGTCAAAACAGCCATTAAACAAGCGTCAATGCTGGGGATGCTGCTCAGCAGCATAGCACCTGCCTGTCAAGTGCACGGTTCTAAGTTCAATTTCCGATACATGAAAAAAAAGTGTCATTAAATGAGAAGTATCTGTAAAAATTCATAAACTGAGTAAGGACTTAGAAACTGACAGCAATTTGATATTACTGTGCTATCTAAGCATATGGTCGGTCATGTTCCCTGGTCATCTTCTTTTGTTGACTTTTAAAACACTTTTCCATGACAAACGAGAAATTTTTAAAGAACAAAACAAAACAAAAATCCTTTTTTGGTATTTTAAGAAGCAATGCCCAATGACGTATTGCAAAGAACAGACTCGCAGACAGGAAGTACGGAGAGGACTCCTTAGTGCTAACAAGCAAAAGAGACAGGCCGGACCTGAGGTGGTGTCAAGAGAAAAAATGGGAGAATTAAACCAGACAGATGTGAAAGCAAAGGGAGGGCAAGTGAGGACACCTGTGTTTGCAGCTTGGGCAGGACTGACATATGTCATTCTCACAGACAGGAGCTTGGGGAAGGGAAGACATGAGTCCAGTTTTGTAAACACTGAGTTTCAGGCTTCTGTGGAAAAACTAAGCAAAAAAGGTCAACAGATGTCAAGATCATTTCCATGAATGCTGATTTTTCCACAAAAGTCAGATCACATGGTTAGAGTTCAGAGGAAGAAGAGAGGCACCCACCAGCTTAACAGTCCTCTACTGGGAACTCAGGACAGTGCAAAGGGCATTTCCAAGTGTTTCCTCTTCTGGAACAGAAATACTTTGGCTTCCTCAGGGTTCCTAGAGGAAACTGAAACTACTTTTCTAGAGAGCTCCTACTTCCAATAAGCCCTACACTTCTCAGAGATAGCACTAGCAGTTTTGTAGGATCAGAATGGAAATCATCATCATTAATTCCAGCATTCATGAGTGCTGCATGCCAAACATTAAATGATTTACACATGAGCTCACTGACTCAGCACAAAGATCCTAGGGTAGAAATTATAACCTCATTTTATAGGTGGGAAACTGAGGCAGACAAACATTAAGTGCACTGCATCCAAAATGGCAGAAGTACTTCATACTCCAGAGGTATTTTAGAATACACGAGACTTACAATGAGACACTGGAGGAGGGGGGTAAACACGAAATCCATTTGTATTTCATACATACCTTGCACACACAGTTCGTGGTTAATCTTATGTAATTATTTTTTAATTACCCATGTTTGAAAAGTGACCTGCTACAAACATTAGCTGTGGAATTTTCCACTTGTGGCATCCTATCAGCAAGCAAAATGTTTCAGATTTTTGAGCACTGTACATTTCAGATTCTCAGATTTGGGGTACTGCAACAGTAAATAACTAGCCCAAAGTAACTCTAGGAGTGGTGCAAGCACAGGTCCCTTGAATGCAATTGAGCAAATACAGGAGTTGCTTTCTTGAAATAATATACAGATTGGAACGGGGACACAGATTGAAGAAAACAATGGTTCTACACACTGGAAGGAATGCCACAGAAATCTGACAACAAAGTTGTCCTTTAGTGATGATCCATTCTCTCTCTTTTTTTTTTTTTTTTTTTTTTTGGTGGAACCAGGGATTGAACTCAGGCCCTTGCACTTGCCAGGGAAGCGCATATTCCACTGAGCCATCTCCCCGGCCCCTATTGATGAACCATTCTCAAGTGGCATAAAAGCGTGTATAAATAAATACCAGATCCCTTTTTGTCCAGTACTTCCTTTCAGATGCTATGGCCCTGGTCTTTCACTTTCTATAGTCTTTCCTGGTCAGCTAATGTATTCCTGGTTCTTTGACCATATCAAGGTAATGTTCAAGAGCACAGGCTCAAGAGCCAAATTTCAGCCATGGTCATGTCACTTGACCATTTGATCATCATCTTATTAGGTACTAAAGTAAGCAAATCTGGGCCCCAGATACTTATTTTGTAAAATAAGAATACTAGTTATCTTTATCACAAGATTACTGTCAGAATTTATTGAATATATGAAGAAGTTAGGGGCTAGGGAGATAGCTTGGTGGTCTAAGCGCCTGCCTGACAAGCACAAGGATCCAGGTTCAATCCCCGGTACAGGATACCATTTCAGCCCCCAGAAATCAGATATGGAAGCACATTCCTGTAATCCTAGGGCTGGGCAGGCTCAAGACAGGAGGATCATTACAAGTCCAAGCTGTGAAATGACATCCTGTACCAAATAAATAAAAGATTAAAAAAAAAAAAACTTAGAACAGTACCTAGAAAAAATTAAGCTAAAAAAATATTATCTTCTTTGACTAACTGCACAGTCTACCCAAAATCTATAATGCTGAGTGTGAAATCAGTTGTCCATAAAGCTAAACGCTTTTGAAAAACATTCCAGGTGGGGTCCTTTCCTCTGTCCTCATTATTACAGCTAGCACAGGCCCCAAGTGAACTTTACAGCCTCCTAACTGTTCAGGCCCTCTGTGGCCGTGACTAAACAGCCAGCAACAACATTTACAAACATCATTCTCTTGCTCACAAATTGTCACTAGCTCCCTGATGCTTAGAGTCTGGTCTCCTGCATGACACTCTGGACCCTCTACAGGTACCTTTAATCTGTCCTCCGATTCACTTCTAGTCACACCTCTGAGAGCTAGGGCCACACCACATGATTGGCTGTGTCCAGTACATGATACTGAACTTTAAGAGACTCGTTCAATGTACGCACTTCGCTTTAGGTCTGAGAAAACTGTCCTTTCCTTCCCTGTATCTAGAAAACTATTTTCCTTCAGAGCTTGGATGAAATGCTGCACTACTCATGTATTCAACGTGAAGTTTACTGAATACCAAAATGTGCAAGAAAATCATGTGAACGTAAGGATTAAACAAGACACGGTGAAACAACATTTAGGAAACTCATCTATAAAGAGAGACACAGGGTGAAATATCATAACAAAATACAACTCGAGCGGCATGAGTAGGGGAGAGCAGAGTGACATCTACGCTGGGTTGCATAAATACAGATCTCTGTTTCCATCCTACCACTGCTAAACTGGATGAAGATCTTGACAACCACTTTTCTTGTTTTCTCGTACTGGGGATGGAACCCCAGGTCTTCACAATGAACTACACATCGAACCTTTTTTTTTTTTTTCTTTCTTTTCTTTCTTCTTTTAAATTTTAAGACACGGTCTCACCAAGTTGTCCAGACTATACTTGAACTTGTCATCCTCCTGCTTCTGCCTCCCAGAATGCTGGGATTACAGACACGTGCCACCACGTCGGACGACAACCTTTTAACACTACTCGGGATGTTGCATTAGGGTCCTGTTTTTAACATCCGTCCTCCCTGAAACTGTGGTCGTAAGGCAGAAAGTTGTGGCTCCTCTGCACCCCCAACACTTAGGTATTCCGATAACAAAACGGCGCAAAGGTATTGAACGAAGGAAACGGTTTCCCCACCGCGCGGCAAGTCTCCCCGACGGGGGACGCACCCTCCCGCTGGGGCCGCAGCCGCCGCCTCGGCTCCCCGCGGCGCCTCCGGGGCCGGGCCGGGGTCCCAGGAGCTGACGCGCTCGCGTTCCCGCAGCCCGGGTACGTTACCTCCGCTGTCCGACGCCTCTCGGACTTCATCGTCCAGCTCTGAGGCCACAGCTTTGGCCACTATTTTCATCTTCTTCTTCTTCTTCTTTTTCAGGGACTTTTTCAGCTTTTTCCCAGCAGCTACACGTGAGTCCTGCACGGCCGCGGCCATCTTGCCTGCCGGAAGTGTTCCTCGAGCAGTGTACCGACAGCAACACGAGGAGCTTCCCTAGCGAGTTCCGCAGATACAAGGTTCCGCTGAGCGATTTTCAGAACGTAGACGGGAAAGAGACGTCTGAATTCTCAAGAGTCGTTGCATGAGGTTGAGTCTAGGGTAAAAATCGTTGACAGGGACGATCGGGGCCAAAGCTCGGGCCAGCAGTGACACCCTCGCCGCGGCACGGCCACTTCCTGCTCCCGTCTTATGGTTTCCTACGGGGCTCGGGTTCTGCGGGTGCACAGCTGCACAACAGGAAACGCTCTCGGGCGACGGTGTTTCCGGCTGAGCCTCAGAAGCCGGGGTCAGACGGCCGCTCGTCCCCTAAAATACCGACTCTTTAAAAAAGGGGACCGCATTTCGTTCCATATTGTACCCCAAGTTAGCCATAGGACTCGATCTGTACAGAGAGCTCGAAAGGTAGTTTGAAATGAAGGAGAAGATCAAAGACAATGTAACTGTTGACCTGGTTAATGAATCAAAGAAAGCAAACCTCTTCGTATTTTGTAGGCTAAACGTGGTCAAACGGCTTTCCCTGAACTGAGTGGAGCGAATCTCTAAACACCTAAAACTCCTTATAAGGAGAAGAAAAAAATCTTAATTTTGACACTGTGTATGTTGCTTGATAATATTTACATCTTTACAATAGTTGTGTAAAACAAAAGGTGAACGACAAATTACGTTCCAGATAAAGCTGGCTAAAGATCAGATTGAAAAGTGTGGCAATGCCAACAAAAGAGGCGCGCCTGGGTGGCACCCGCGGGAGGCAGGCGCTCCCCCACCCTTCTCCTGGCCTGTTTTCACTTGCTAGTCCTGAACCTGCTTCCTGGGAGCTGATGAGTTCCAAGCAAACCTGAAAAAGCATTGAAGAAAATATGGAGAAGGAAGCAAAGAACAAGAGGAAATACATTTCAGTGTTACAATGGAAACGATATTCCCACATATGAAACATGCTGTTCCTGCATTAGTATGCAAATCGAATTTGATGATCAGGAAGTGATGTTTTGATTATTTTACATGTTAGCAAAATAGTTCATATCTAAGAATTGTAATGTGTTCAGTTGTAGCTTCAAAAATTGCCACAGTTTTTTGATGTGTTACACATGCAAATTGTTCGACAGATTAATATAACATAGATTAATATAACATAGATTCCAGGATTTTTTTTCTCAGAAATCAGATTTTTAGAAATGGATTAGACTGATAAAGGGAGATACGTGTGTTAATTTATGTAATCTTAACAGTGAGCCATGGAGCAAGGTGCCCTGTTCAGACTTGGGCAGAGTAGATGCTCAAAGTGACACGGCCAGTAGGGGGCAGAGTCGTACTCACGCCTAAGTTTCTGCTGCAGACTGCTGGGCCAAGATCTTTGTACAGCAGTCCTGTGATACTTTGGTTATCGCCTCAAACTTTCTACTGCTCAAAACAGCAAAACTTGAAAACGTTTTTCTCAGTGTTTATTAATTTCCTCATAAAATGAAAATTCAACTTGAAGAGGCTTCTACATGCAAAATTAAATCACGGAAGCGCTGCTCTCACCTGGACAGCATATAGTGCTTGTGTTGATGTGTTAAAACTCACCGTTGTGCTTTTTCGGTGCTTTATTTGCATAAAATATCATAACCATCGCTTCGAAGAAAGTTAGTGATACTAGCAGGAAAACTAAGAGGAAACTGTGAGACCCACAGCAGGGTTTAAGAAAGGAATCACTGAAGTTGTTAAAGTCCTAGGACAATGAATTTGTAAGTGTAATTTTTGGGCCTCAGAACTAATTATTTGGTTCTCCATTATTTCTCATGGGAAAAATATGTTCAGTTTTCAAACTTTTTGGTGTTTGAACACAAATTTGGAGTAAATTGGTTCGACAACCGAAGTATCACTGTACTTGAAAGCATATAATAAAAATAGGCAATAGAAACTTCTGGTAAACTTTAGCATTTGTAAATTAGGGACAGTCTCTGGCCTTACAGTGTTCCAAAATAATTAAGATTTTTAACCGAATTTACACCACGTCATGGAAATAACTAAAGTCACCTATATGCTCGTATGAGCATTTTATTTTACAGATCCTGTGTTAGCAATCAGCCAGCAGTTAGCAACCCCTCTCAGCTCTAAATTCACCCTTTGGGGCTGATCTGTGAAAATGTGGCTGGGTTCTTTAATATTTGTCTTTGCCTATTGGCTGAATGCTAAACAGTGTCAGCAGAGAGCACTAGAGTGACACCATAAGAAGAAAAGGCCCCCTTTTGAGCTTCCTTGTGCTTCTCTGTAAAGGCCAACGGAGGCTTCTCCAACCTGTGACTCCTAAAGTAGACATGGGTTTCTAGTGCCTGGCTCCTGTCATTCAGATGACTCCTCCAGCATCTGGCTTCTGCGCTGCACAACAGTCAGCAGCGGTGGCAGCTCCCAGCAGCCTTCTCATGCAGGTTCCTGCAGAGTGCCTTCCACGCAGCACTTGTGCTGCCACAGTTGTCCTCAGCGCTTTTCCATAGAAAGTGACAACTGATTCTAAGGTTTATATGGCTCTCAGGCAGAAAACACCTTTTAAAAAGGGTGGGGGGGGGCTAAGCCTACCTGCTTTCGGGATTTATTAGAAGCCCATTGTAATCAAAATAATGTAGCGTCATGTCAGATAGAAAAAACGAGCATAGTAGAGAATCATGAAATTAAGACATAGACATACAGAAATAGAAAACTGACTAACGACAGGGATACAGCGTCAATTCAGTGGAGAAAGAACAGCAACCCCAATAAATATTGAAGCACTTGGATATCTGTATTTTTAAAAACTGCACTTCAGTCTAAACCTCACATCATATGCAAAACTTGGCTCAAAATGGATTTGGACCAAATATAAAGATGCAAGTATAAAAACTCTGTAAGAAACACAAAAGTAACCATTGCACCCTTGCTTAGGCAAAGATTTCTTAGGTACGATAGCAAACACACGATTCATAAAAGAACAAATTTATAAGCTGGGCCTCATAGATATGTAAAACTTACTCTTTGAAAGATAGCACTTTGAGAATGAAAAGACAAGCTTGGCTGGAAAAATTTGCAAAGATTTGATAAATGACTATATCTAGAATATACAGAGAACACTCAAAACTCTGTATTAACAGATACTTCATCAAAGGAAATTCACCAATGACAAGAACACATGAAAAATTGTTCAACATCATTAGTCACTAGGAAAATGTGAAGTCAAATGTAATAAGATGTGACTGTACATCACTTACAGTGACTAAAATTAAGACTGATCATTCTGAGTATTGTGAAGAACCTAGAACTTTCATACATACACCACTAGTGAGGATTTTAAATGGCCAGTCACTCAGCAAACACACTGAAAATTTCTTAAAATTGCATATGAATGTTCATAGAAGGCTTGTTTATGATGCTAATACCCTAGCCATTTTCTTGTGGTTAGAAAAACATGTCCAACTCACATAACTTAAGGAAAGAAAAGATTCTTTTAGGCTTACAGTTTTATTGGGTTTGGTCCATGGTTAGTGACCTCCAAAGCAGAAATGGCACCATAGAAGGGCATGGCAGAGGAAAGCCATGGGCAGCCAGGAGGCTGAAAGAGAAGAAAGGAGCTGGAGACAAGAATGCACCCTCCGGGGCAGGGTAGATGGCTCAGTAGAATAAACGCTTCCCTGGCAAGAGCAAGGGTCGGAGTTCAATCCCCGGTTCCACAAAAAAAAAAAAAAAAATGCCCCTCAGGACTGCACCTCCACGAGCCGCCCCTTCTAAGTAGGCCTATTTCCAACTGTGAGAACTTGGTGGCATATTTTGGACCTAAACACAGCACTGAGCAACTCAAATGTCTCCCAGCAGGCAAATGCATAAGCGAGTTGTAGAGCAGCGATGCAGCAGTGGGCTAAGTGACAAAGGCACAAACAACTGAGCTACAGAGTGATGCCCGGTGAACTCTGACAGACCCCCACTGAGGGTATATGCTTCATGGTTCCAGTTATACTAAGCTCTAAGAAACATGGAAGCTAATCTATAGTGACAGAAATAAGATCAATGAATGCTGAAAGAGTAGAAGGGTTTAAAAAGGCCATGAAGGGGTGGGGTTATCAAAGTGCATGGAAACTTTTTGCATGAAGAACAAAATTATTATCTAGATTAGAAAGATAGTTTCACAGAGCATATATATATATATATATATATATATATATATATATTAAAATGTAACATGGTACACTTAATTACCTGTAGTTTATTAGAAATCAATTATGCTTTAATATATCTGATATACACTTACACATGTGGTAAGGAAACACATCAAGAAATAGAAATATGGACTGCATATGTGGGACACGTGGGACTTCACTGACAAGTTCCTGAATGTTTTAATTTTGCTTTTGTTTGTGTATTTATTTCTTTTGGCTGTAAAAGAAGTCCAAACACATAAGTAAATAGTAAAACCTAGCATTATATTTTTGGCATATTTGCTGGTATTATATTGTGAATTGTTTTCAAGTGACCTTCCTGTGAGATATACTAATTTCACTTATAGAAATCTACCCTAAGCGACCAAGGTAAAACAGGAGAAAGATTTGATCCAAAGGTGCTTATAATTTGAGGCTAAAACAGTAGTGCTTATAATTTCAAATGATGAAAATAGTGTAGATTTTAAATTAAGGGCTTACTATGTAATCCATAGATGCAATATTATAGAACATTAAAAATATTCTGAAGAATATTTAATAACTTGTGTTGTACTGTTAAGTGAAATAAAAATTTTAAACTTACTTTTGCCTATTTTTTATTTTAGGACAGGGTCTACAGGGTCTCACTGACCAATGTATTTTTTAAATGTACTCGAATGCATACATGCCCCATAAACAAGGTTGGAAAGCTTTGGCATCAGTGTTTCCCCCGCGCCTTACTTGGCAAGCAGCCATCTCTTCATTCCTCTGTGCTAGTGATTGCACTATGTGTAGATAACTTTC